GGAGGTCCGCCCGCCAGGTCCTGTAAACGCCTGCGGCTGGCTCCGAACCCTCCCGACAGCAAGAACCTCGCATCACGGAGACACCCAGTCCTGTTGCTTCCGACCCAGGTTGGCGCCCCCAAAAAGACCCGCAGGGATCAGCCGAGGGCTAGTTGGGGAGCGTGTGGACGGAAAAGGGGTTTTATGCACAAGAACCTCACAGCGCGATTGACCTGTTCATACATTCCCGAGCAGGTCATGGGGGGCAGCCATCCCCAGGCACGGAACACTTTTAGTCAAAGGCTTATTTTTGCCGTAGCGAGCCCTGTCCCCCGTTTCTGTGCATCTAAGGTTAGCACACCTCCGACCCCTGCTGACGTGACCACCCCCAAGGGTTTATCCTGTCATTCGACCCCCAGCTGGCTTTCTCCCACCTTCACGTGCTCTTCCTTCTGTTCCCTCCCTAATCTCCAATGCAGAAAAGCTGCAAACTGTTACTCTGAGTAGCAGTTGAGATCTTGCTTCCCAACATATGCTGTAGGTTTAGCTCAAATAAACTCATAAAAATTATCTACTGGTTTGGATTGACTGGTTTGGTCAATAAGCAGATTGGAGGGGGACCCCTGGTAGAAAACCACACTTCAGGGTGTTCTTTGCCAGAATGAACCTTGGAGTGGGTCCCTTTAGATCAGCGGTTCTCAACCTGTGGGTCTCGACCCCTTTGGGGGTCGAACGACCTTTCTTCACAGGGGTCGCCTAAGACCATCGGAAAACACATATATAATTACATATTGTTTTTGTGACTAATCACTATGCTTCAATTATGTTCAATTTGTAACAATTAAAATACATCCTGCATATCAGATATTTACATTACGATTCATAACAGTAGCAAAATTACAGTTATGAAGTAGCAACGAAAATAATTTTATGGTTGGGGTTCACCACAACATGAGGAACTGTATTAAAGGGTCGCAGCATTAGGAAGATTGAGAACCACTGCTTTAGATGCTATAGATGTAAGGCAAGTAGATACCCAATGTTAGGGGGGGAAATATATAAAACAACTTTTGTTACAGTTTATTCATTTTTATTTTCGTCTACATGCTTGAAAGTGGCTAAGAAGAAAGAGGTGGGCAAACTTCTGCATCTGCTGAGAAGCCTCCAGGGAGAAAAAGGATTTAAATTGTGACCCTTTCTCTTTTGAGTTTCAAACAGTTATTTGAACAAGGCTCTGTTAAACAAAGACTTAACTCTCACAGATGAAAGTTGGTTTGTTTGTTGTGTTTTTTGAAAAAGGCTTTATTTAGCCAAAAAGAAGGCCAGTCTTGGGGGATGAAATCCAAAACACCAGCAGCATACATTTCTGTCATCCTGGAGTTTGCAATCATTTTTGTTTTTTAATCGTTTTATTTCAGAGAGAGGGAGAGAGAGAGAAACATCAATGATGCGAGGGAAACATTGATCAGCTGCTTCCTGCACGCCCCCTACTGGGGATCAAGCCCAAAACCCCGGGCATGTGCCCTGACTGGGAATCGAACTATGACCTCCTGGTTCATGGGTCGACGCTCAACCACTGAGCCACATGGGCAAGGCTGCAATTTTTTATTTACCAACTGGGGGGTGGAGGCGTGGGAGAAAGATGTAAGCTGTCTGAAAGCCTTTGCATTAGCTATAGGCAGAGGGGGTGGGAGAAGGTGAGGTAGCGCCAGCCCTGGGATTGGTACAGAGCCCGCAAGGAAGAAGCGTCTGCTCCTTTGGACTGGTGGGCAACAGTCCAGAAAGTTCATGCACAAACAGAAGTGGAGGCTCCTGGAGTTGGAAGGTTCATTATTTGGAATAATTGCAGAAGTAATCACCTGGAAATTACTCTGAAGTTCCAACAGACATATGAATATGAGCAGTCTTTTGTTAGCTGGTCCACAGTTATTAACAGGCTAACTGTTCTGTCTCGCACTCTCTGGCTGCTATAATTTAATTTAGAATACCTCCGAATTTCCTCCTTGTCAGCTCATAGACTACAGTGGTCCAAATAAGGACAGCTAGCTGGAGAAGACACTCGGGACTCTACGGAGAAGATCACTACAAAGATAATGGAAGTTGGAATAGTAACCAACATAATTTTGGAGAGTCTTAAGGGAGGGCTAATTTCATACACAGCTTGGAAACTCTCAGACCCTGTCAGAAAGTCTATGACACTGGAAAAACCCTGGTGAAAACAAATGCATGTCTAAGCTAATAAGCTGTGTAAGGTGTAGGGTGTAAAGAGCTGAACAAAAACAATGAGTGAGAGATTAAAAAAAATATTCAAAATGTAGGGAAAAAACGTTATGCATAAATTCACCTCAGTGTTATTTATAATAGTAAAAAAGTAGCAATAATCAGTCCTTTGTAAGGACATGGCAAAAATAACCAATGGTATAACCTAATGGAATAAATGCAACTATTAAATTATGCTTATGAAAATCATAATGCAAATAAAATGGCAAAAACTACACGTGATATTATGAGAAGTGAAAAATCCGGTTACAAAACTATGAGTTTTTTAAAAAACACCAAATAAAAAAACACTGGTAGAAAATATACCAAATTTTAATAGTTATGTAGAACAATTTAATTATGGATTTTTTCCCCTACATTTTCTCTACTTTACAAATGTAGTTAGAACACATAACGAAACCAAAACATTAACTGTAAGTCCTAAAACTCAACAGACTCAGTTGCCAAACTGCCAAGTTATCTTTATTTTGTCAAGATATTTAACAATATAAAAAAGTTCATATTTCTTCATAGTCATACCTTTTCCCAGCTTTCAAATTTTCAATAGTAGAAACAGCCAAATGCTGCTACAACACAGAACAAACTGTCCTACAAAACAGAAAACACACACACAAACCCAGAATGTTAGGATAAGTAAAGAGTTAGGTTTTCTGAATGTAGAAATAAAATAAAAATGAACGAGCTTTATGTAATACATATTCATAAAATAAGTATTCCCAATTTTTTCTGATTTATCAAAGAAATAATATATGAAATTATTTTAATTTCTTGGAGTAAATGTTTTACCCATCTCAAAGAACTATATTATAGTATCACACATAATAAAAATAACAGCTCCGTGTCATAAATCCTGGATAAGTGTAAATGGCCTCTGGGTGTTTGTTCTTAATTTAGAAAATTCATTTGTCCATCTTTTTGCTCAGAATCCTAAAATGCTTTCCAGATCCCAGTTAAACTTTGTAAGACACTTTTTAGGTATTTCTTATAGGAACTCCACCTGCCTCAGCAACTCCTGACCTACCAACCTCACCTCCAGCTTGGCAGTGATGAGAAAAAATCTGCTCAAGTACCTGATTGTTAACCAAAAGCAAAACCCTTTGGTTAGCCCAGTTCCCTGGCTCCCGGGTGGGATGACTGAGCTGAGTGCTATCTGAGGTGAGGGACCTGTTTTTGTTTTTGTTCTAATTTTCAATCCCTCATGCACTGATACTTTTGTAAAATACAATAAAAATGAATAACGAGGAAAACAAAATGAAAAAAGAAATATACAAATACAGCCTAAAAGTTTTATTATTAGATTTAATGGACATAAAATTACTTTGTCAAATTCTTATAAGAGTTTCTAAACCCTTACACTCAATTTTTATACTGATCTCGTAACGGAGCTCATGGCCCTGGTCTGTGGCTCCCAGTTTGCCTGGCGCTGTTCCACAGTGTCACCCAGAGTTCTCCAGCAGGACTGAGCCGGGCTATCCACTCTGGGGGGCAATTGTCAGCTCAAAAGCATATGCTTTTCTCGCCTCTCACTTCCTCATCCTCTACTGGTGCTTCCCAAACAATAAAGTGCTTTAAGCTCTGAAAGTGACACCTAAACACTCAACCAACTGGACTAAAGATACATACAGTACACAAACTCAGCAACCCAAACCGGCTCTCAAAAATGACTGTTAGACACCGCACCCTCCAACCCTGTGTTCTAAAATCTGATCCTGGGAATATTGATAACTAAAGTTTTATACTACATATTTGTTAATTTGAATATTGTCTGGCCACCACTGTTTATAGCTCTCGATAGGCAATAACCATGCCTTTTATTCCTAGCACCTCCAGTACAGAGATTGGCACATAATATAGAAGCTCAGAGTTATCTTTTGGATTAATGAATTACATTGTATAGCGACTCAGGGAAATATAAATGTTTAACTCCAAAAAGCAGGAAAAACCACCACCTTAACTTGAAATCTTCCCCCAGAGAACTGATAATTGAAGATTTACATAATACTTCCCATTGTTCAGCCCTTGATCCCTACGGTAGTTGAGCATAATATGAAACTTTGGTAGGACCATAGAGTTTTAGAGCTAAAAGGTACCTTAAGATCTACTACACAAGCAGCTTCCAAATCTGGCAGTAAGCACAACCATGTGAGGAACTTGTTTAAAAAAATCCTTACCAAAGGACATGTTTATTGATTTTAGAGATTTTTTTAATCCTCATCTGAGGCCATGCTTATGGATTTGAGAGAGAAAGAGAGGAAAGGAGAGAGAGAGACACATCAATCAATGTATCAGAAACATTGATCCATTGCCTCCTAAATGCGCCTCGACTGGAGATCGAATCAGCTGAGCTACCTGGCCAGGGCAATGTGGGGAACTTTTTAAAAATTCAGATTCACTGATCCAACCCCAAGCTTATGTGATTAGAATCTACTTGAGCAGGACCCCAGCATCTGTATGTTAAACAAGTTCCTCAAATAATTCTTAGGCAAGCCACAGCCAGTCTTTGGGAAAATCTAGAATAGTTTCCTAATGTTACTGACACAATCAGATAAAAGTCCAATGACTTACCTAAAGTCATTCAATTAGAAAGTTACAGAGCTGGAAATGGAACCTCTCTCCTAATTCACTCAACCCAGTTTCTGTTCTACACTACTATACTTAATTCTGACTCTACTAATTCACAACCTGGGAGCATTTGGACAGAGGAAGCAAGTATAAAACATATAATTAAAATTTATAAAACATTCATGCCAATAACTTGCCAATGTTTAAATGAAAACTCTTTTGAAAAATTCCTCTTTATTTTTGCCTAGTTTTGAGAAATAGCTTTAAGATAAAGTAATTGTTTTGATTAGTGAAAGAAAAATCACCTTTCCTCATGGAATCCCTGACATCCAAACTTCTTTGCAGCTTAGCAAAGTGCTATTTGGCTATTAGCACTGAACAATATGCTATTCCCAAATTCAAACTTGTGAAGAGTTATGTTATCTGTACACATATAGGTCTCCTTGCCTATAAACAGCACACTAGGTTTCTGCTTTATGTTTAGTAACACAAAAAAAGAACAGTAAAGACATCTCATCCAGGAGTCTGAGACAAATGTCTAAAACGAAAGTGTGCTCACATCTCAATAAATATTAAGTAATTTCCTCTGGAATGCCCCCATGTCCTTTGAAAGAAAGAAAAAGTTCCCAAATAGACTTACATTCATAAAAACATCATGAATGTAGTTGTCAGTGTCAGCATCCCAGAAACAGCGGGCAGCCATGCTAAAAAATCAAAGATTGGAGAATTACCAACAATATAACAAGGACCTGAAACATATATCTGCCAGCAGCAAAAGTTTTCCTTGATACGTTCTTTTAGATCAGTACTTCCAAACCTTTTTTTAGGCTGGCACACAGGAAAGCATATTTGTACAGCAGAGTATACAGTAAACTAAAGGGCCTGGGCTGATAAGATTGCTTGCAGTTGGAGGTGACCAGCCCAGGGGTCTAGCAGCTTCAGACTCTGACTAGCTGCCTGATAACTAAAGGGGTCACTACCTTGAAGTTTTTTAAACTGTGTGGGAAGCTCTGTTACATAGATTACTTCAGCTAAGATATTTGTGTGTATGTGACTTTTAAAGAAAATAACACCTGCCCTAACCAGTTTGGCTCAGTGGATAGAGCGTCGGCCTACGGACTGAAGGGTCCCAGGTTTGATTCCGGTCAAGCACATGTACCTTGGTTGCGGACACATCCCCGATAGGGGTTGTGCAGGAGGCAGCTGATTGATGTTTCTCTCTCATTGATGTTTCTAACTCTCTATCCCTCTCCCTTCCTCTCTGTAAAAAAATCAATAACATATATATTTTTAAAAATAATAACACCTAAGAATTATGACTAAAATAGACTTAATTCCTTTACAATAACATGAGAAGGTAAGTCTGGAAAGGATCTAACAGAGTGTTTACTCCAACCTAGAAAAGAAAGGGGCAAACTATGAACTAGAATTCAATCTTCTAACTAATTCTACATCCAGTATTACCTATGCTACTTTTAAATTCTCAATTTGGCCATTCTCTCCAACTTTGGGGTATGGAAAAAAATGTCAGTCAAAATAAAAACCAATTAAAAATGCAAACAATTTAAGTTCCCAGTAGTATTAGATTGGTAAATGAAATTAGGGTATTTCTTGGCGACAAAATTGCATGCAGCCATTAAATATATGTTTTGATGCCCTGGCCGGTATTTCATTCTTTCTGAAAAGCAAATGGAAAAAAAATATCCTCAGGTGAGGATTTAAAAAAAGATATTTGCCCTAACCGGTTTGGCTCAGTGGATGGAGCGTCTGCCTGCAGACTGAAAGGTCCCAGGTTCGATTCCGGCTAGGGGCATGTACCTTGGTTGTGGGCACATCCCCAGTGGGGGGTGTGCAGGAGGCAGCTGATCGATGTTTCTCTCTCATCGATGTTTCCAACACTCTACCCCTCTCCCTTCCTCTCTGTGAAAAATCAATAAAATATATTTAAAAAAAGATATTTTTTTATAAAGTAACTTCAAGAACATGAAAAGATGTTCACAATATAAAATTAAGTTTAAAAATTAATTATAAGTATTTTACATTTTTATTAAATGTATATGAATGATTCACCAATAACATCAATTTACTGCTTACTTTGTGCCAGCCTCTGGTCTAAGTGCTTTACATGTATTAACTCAATCTTATGAGTTAGGTATTATTATTATTACTAGAGGCCCAGCGCACGAAATTCGTGCACGGGTGGGGTTCCTAGGCCTGGCTGGTGATCAGGGCTGATCAGGGCTGGGCTGGAGAGGAGGCAATGGTCGCTGGGCTGGGTGTGGAAGAAACGGACGCGAACATCGCCATCATTGGCACTCTGCCACCATGCAGTTCCCTGCCTCCCCCCTCCTCCTTCCCTTGCCACTGCCGCACCGCCACCACGGGCTGATTGGGGCCTGCCGGCTGCAGGGAGGGACAGGGCACGGGAGGTTGGTCACCGGCCCCAAGGAGGGAGCCGGCCTTTGGCCCCCCCTGGGAAAAGGGCCGCATCCACCACCACTCACCCCCGGTTCCCCGTCCCAGCCCGGGGGCCAAGGGGAGGGACCGTGGGAGGTTGGCCAGCTGGGGGAGGTTGGCTGTGGGAGCACACTGACCACCAGTGGGCAGATCCTGCATTGAACATCTGCCCCCTGGTGGTCAGTGTGCATCATAGCAACTGGTCATTCCAGTCACTTAGGCTTTTATATATATAGATACCTATTTAATAAACATGAAAACTGAGGATCAGAGAAATTAAATAATCTTGTCCAAGATCATTCAAATAGTAAGTGACAAAGCTTCACTTTGAACCAAGGCAATTTAGCTTGAAGTCTGTAGTGAAAAATATACTGTATTATATTGGTTCGTTTTTGAAAGTTTTTTTTTAAGTTTTACACAGAAGAGCTCCCCCTAACCTAATATTTTTCACATTCTTTAAAAAGTTCTGATTCCAAGCTCCAAAAGTAACAATATGAAATACAGTGGGGCCTTGACTTACGAGTTTAATTCGTTCCGAGACCGAGCTCGTTAATTCAAATTACTCTATCAACTCAATGCAAAAAATCGGCGAGAGACAGCTGGTATCTCAAAAAACTCGTTAGTCGGGACACTCGTAAGTCAAGGCCCCACTGTAAAGTCAATCTACTTAATTGGCCAATCAACAAGTATTTATATAGCAACTACCATATGTTTTGAAAGAGAAAAATCTAGCTCTAGCCTCAATTCTCAATTTAATTAGGTGAAAAAATTAACACACATCAAAGAATAAGATAATGAATAATTGTGCTAACTTATAGGTTATTATGTTTAAAAGGGACTGTAAAGTCTATCTAGTTCAAGCCTCCAAGTCCAAGTTGCACGGTATTTGAATTAAATCTGTAGTAGTGCTACAGAAATTTAGAGAATTTAGAGAGGAGAAAAACCAAAGAAGACTTCATGAAGCAGAAACAAGTGAAGACATAAATATAAAAATTTAGCCCTGGCTGGTGTGGCTGTTGGTTGGGCATTGTCCCGTGCATGGAAAGGTTGCCAGTTCAATTCCCAGTCAGGGCACATGCCCAGGTTGTGTGCTCGATCCCCGATAGGGGGCATGCAGGAAGCGGCCAGTCAATGTGTGGCTCTCACATCTCTCACATGGATGTTTCTCTCCTTTCCTCTCTCTCTGAAAATCAATTTTTTAAAATTAACAAATATTTGTTGAGTATCATGTATGAACAAAGTGCTAGGTGCAAATGATACAGAGATGCATAAAACACAATCATTGCCTCCAAATTGTGGACTCTACACCATTTCCCAATAATGGTGTGTGGAAGGCAACCAATCAATCGATGTGTCTCTCTTACAGCAATGTTTCTCTCTGTCTCTCCCCTTCCCTTCCACTCTCTCTTAAAACCAATGGAGAAAATATCCTCGGGTAAGGATTGACAACAATAACAAAAAGATAAATCTGAAATATTTGGGTCATACCAAAACCCTGAAATATAGAAAAAAGATATATATATATTTTTTTTTTCATAAAGTTGTGTTAAAAGGATTTAGAAATAATACAATGTAACAGTTTGTAGCAGCTCAGCACTCCCTCCCAGATCAATTAGAAAAACTGGATAAAATGAATCAGAGCTGCTGTAGCAAACAGGACTAGGGGAGCCAAAATTCCACAGAGGTGACCCGCTAAGGCAGCGGTAAACTGATATTCTGCACTGGAGTTCTCCCCGGGGCGTTTGCTAACTCTAGGCACACAGCTAGAGGCTGAGAATATGGGTTTTGTCCAGGCACAGACCAATTACTCAGCTGGACTAGAGAGATAAAATTACAGGGCTAGAGAGATAAAATTGGAGACTTGCAGGGCCAAGATCCCCTGTAAAAAAGGAGAGAGCAGAACCGAGCTTTAACATCACATGGTAGGTTCCCCCTCACATGTGCTGAATTCTGAAACTGTGTAAGTAGGACCTAAAAAACTAAGAATGGTGGGGACAATAATATCCTCTCACCAAATATGTCTATGACCTAACTCCCAGAACCTAGGGATATGTTATAGTACATGGCTAAAAGGGTTTTACATGTATACGATTAAGCTAAGGATCTTGGATGGGGAGAGTAGCATGGATTACCCAGGTGGGCTCAATGTAATCACAGGGTCCTTATAAGAGAAAGAGGGAGGCAGGTGGGTCAGAGCCAGAGAGAGATTTGAGGATGGTATGCTGCTGGTTTTGCAGAGGGAGGAAAGGTTGATGAACTAAAGAATGCAGGCAGCCTCTATAAGCTGGAATAGGCAAGGGATTGGATTCTCTGCCAGAGCCTCCAGAGGGAATACAGCCCTGCCGACCCTTTGATTTTAGCTCAGTGAAACCCATTTTGATTTATGATCTCCAGAACTGTAAAATAATATATATGTGCTGTTTTAAGACACCAGGTTTGTAATTTGTTACAGCAGCAATAGGAAACTAATGCATCAAGGAAAAGGGCTCTAAAATGAAGAGTAGTTTTATGCTGAGAAAACAAGGACTAAAAGTCAGTACTTGCTGGAGTGGGGTTCAAATGAATGCTTCAGGCTCTTGGTTGAGAGACCTGGAGAGCTACACTCAAGAAAGAAGGATGCTTAATTCCCACAATATCCTTGTGAAGGGGGCATTATTGTACCCGTTTCACAGATAAGAAAACAAACCCAAAGAAGTTAGGGGAGAAGCCCTACCTTGTATCATGGTTGTGAGGACTAAATAGGATGACATTGCTAAGGGCTTATTCCAGTGCAAGTCACAGAGAAGATAGTGGTAAGAATAGCAGAATAGCAATAATAGCAGAAGATGTAATAGCCGTGACACCCTTGTCCTATTGAGGTTGCTTGACTATCATATGAGTGTCAATGACGAGGCCAGCTACACAGTTTGCAGGACCCAGTATAAAATGAAATTGTGGGGTCTGGCCAGAGGGAGGGAAGAGGAGGGGGAGGGGAGGAGGGGGAGGAGGAGGAGATAGAGCTTTATCAAAACTGCAACAAAACCTCAACTCAGCTCAGTAACTGATTGGATTAAGGTGAGCAGCCCATACCCTACCTGAATCACAAAGGAAATGTAAACCCTCTCTGAAAGAAAACAATATTATCTGGAGGTATACAAGTTGTTGTTTTTTAACACAATGTCAAGGATTCAAACTAGGCATGCCAAGAGACAGAGCCATATGAAGGATTATCAAGAAAAAAAATCAATGGAACAGACTCACACCTGAT